CAATTTTTTATTATTTCTATTGGAATTTTTTATTTTTTTATTTTGTCATCCACAATTAAATTTGAAAAAAAAATTTGCATTTATACACAACTTTTCACAATATTCATTCCAAAAAAAAATAAAAAATAAAATAAAACAAGGTAATATGTAGTTCACTTGTTTTATAAATAAATTAAAAATTGTTCATTAAAAACTATATATATAATTGAAAGTTGTAAAAAAACAACTCTTATGTTATATTCAACTAAATATTGTCGTGTTCTTATTCATTTTATGTTTGTTTTATAAAATAATGATGTAAACAATTATGAATTAATAGTATTAGTAATATTTTATTTTTTCTAATTTTGATTTATTTGGCTGTGGTTAGGTAATAGAATGCATCCAATATATTTAATTTTTGTTTTCTTTAAATTAGCTAATTAATGAAAACTATTATTTCATTAAAATTTAAATTTACAAAAAAATTTTAATTTTGTAAAATTACCTCAATGTGCAAATTGAATTTTTTTATTAAAAAAAAAAAAAACTTTATACCTCACCCTAAAAGTATGCTTTTAATTTCTGTTTAAATTTTAATTTTAGGTATGTTAATGGTTTTTATAATTTGGATTATGTTTAAAATTTTTGATAGTACTGTACGTTACCTATTATACCTTATATATATAATTTCGAAAAAATAATAAATCTTACAGTCTTTGTTGAAGAGAAAATTAAATACATAATATATATTATTGTAATATAATACATTAAGTAATAAAAATTAATTCGTTTCGCCTACAGAAAAATTATTTAAAATTAAATTATTTAAAATTATTAAATTATTTAAAATTATTTAATTAACGTGTTTAGTTTATTGAACAAAATAAGTCAATTCCGAAATAATATAAGTTGTTGTCTTACAATTCTCAAATTAAATATCATAGAACAAAAATAATAAATTCTATAAGATGTCGCAGTTCGCTCTTATACACTTTAGAGCTTTCGTTGAAGCATACCAACATTAGGTGTCCAATGAACACAATCCACATTTTCTACACACCGTATATTTTGTTATTATGATTTTAACAGAAATTAATACAATTCTGTTAAAGAAAGTAAGATCACAACATACATTTGTAACAATTGTTTATATGACGGCTTTACTAGGCAAAGCAAATTGTTGCTAATTTTTACTGCTTTAAGCAGATCAATTTTTTGTAAAAATTTATTAATGAAAGAAAATGTTTGCTTATTTACTTGAAGAAAACAAGCAATGTAAAAAAAAAATGAAGGGACATATGTACATATGCATATATTCTCTATATATATATATTTATATCACTTTATAAAAATTTATTTGAAGAAAACAAGTTTCAAATCATATTTTAATTGTTTTTATTTTATGTGTACTTGTTTTGATAGCCACAGTATTTTATAAATTTTAGAAGCAACGATAATTTGTCCATTGGCACTTAATTTCAATTAAACTGCCTTGAATAGAGTTAGGTACATTATAATTATGATATATTCAATTATAAAATACATACGTCTTTTTGTTGAGGGTGGAACGTATGTAACCAAAACATATCCACAAAAGTTATATGATGTAATATAATTAATTCTACAAACTTATACTAAATAATTCATTTTTATGTGTATAATAATTATACTATACTATTTTTGTTGTATACCATTTGGAATTGACCGTTTTACATTCTTGTAATGATAGAGTTGTCACATGATCAGCTTTCCCGAAAAAGCAAGCGACCATATGTTTTGAAGGTCTTTCGAGCGCGAACAACTTTTGTTGAATTTGGTTCATCTTAAAACACGCATACAGTCGACTGTACCGGCTTATACGCATAGATTCGTATCCATAGACTCGTCTCCTGTTACAATCTTATAGGTATATGTCGTTTGAAGCACTGCCATTGTACTTCTTGAGCATTTGTGTGCTGTGTGCACCAATCGACGAGCATCTTTTTGAGATTTTGTCAACTGATGGGGGATCTAACGAGAACAAACCTTTCTCACAGCTAAATGATCGTAGAATATTTTATATTTGCTGGTGGAACTGATGTCTAGGGTTCTAATACCCTTAATCTCACAGCATATCGCATGACGATATTGCATTATCAGTTTTTTACGAATTTCGTCACAGTTCGCAATTAAGATTATTATTGCATTAGCGTTTCACAGTACCCAAGCATGGAGCGATGTAAGTAAATTGATCAATGCACACTTTTCTTGATAATCCAAGTCGAAAGTCGTAATAAACCATCGCACGAAAATTCTCTCACATTAATTCAATTTTTTCACGAATACTCAATTTAAAAATCACTGTAAATAACAGAAATAACGCTCTTTTGAAAAAAGTCTAAGGTAGATTATGTTTAATAATGTCAATGCGACAGATGAAAATAATAATATGATCCAATAAAGGTCAAATATTTCAATTTATGACTTCAACTAAATTAATCATTATGCCAGTTGATAATTAGGTCAAAGTTCCTATTGGGATCATGTGATATCATAAAACTAATTTAGAAAAAATTTCCGGCGTTTTGTTGCTGATAAGAACGAGAATTTAACCTAACTTCGAGATTTTTATTTAAAGAGGAATCGAAGTTCATACAGATCTGTCTTTACTAATTGCTCACCAGACGATGCTTCCAAAAGCGATCATTTATAAACAATTATTTCAATTATTGGTGCGCATCATGAAATTAAGTACAATGTTAACATTTGATCAAAAACTACTTCAATTCATAATTCTTTTTAGATTTAATAATTTTGTTAAGTCTTTCACAAAATCAACCAGTTTAGTTTTTAAAAATGCAATTAACTTAGAATAATCTTTATTATAATAATTTAATTTGATTTAACGCAGTGTTCTTCTGTAATTGAATAATATTCCATAAAATATATTTATATGCGAAATATTAAGTCAAGTTAATCTTTTCAACAATTGAAATTATTAAAAAACGTTTTGATAACCCTGTATAAGCTGTTTACACAGCACTAAATTTTGAATTCAAGTATTTGAAATCGTTTATGCTGCTTCTACCACATTCCACGAACTTCCCCACACTGTCGCAAGCTTTTTGATTAATTTCAATGAGCTTACAGTCTCAAATTCAAGTGAACTCACCTCAAAAGTACATTGACTAGACCAGTTTGAGTTGCGACGCGGTAGGGATTTATTCGTTGGTTTGCGGAGAATTTGAATGCGGCAATTAAGAGTGCATATGTATATATACAATAAAAGAATTTGTTCAAATTTTAATAGCTTAATTAAATCAAATTAACACTTTTTTAATATTAGTGAAGAAATTAATATAATTAACTAAAATTAAGTGAAACATTTTAAGCAAATATGGAGCGCATTTTGCGTGGAATAATGCGTTATCGCAATACAACGCGTGAGCAAATGGTGAAAGAATTTCAGAAAGTTCGTGATAACCCTGAGGTGAGGAAACGATAAAATAGGAAAATCTATGAAAAGTGATTGTGTTAATCTTAATTCAATTAAAATTTAATCTGTTAGTCTGTTTTAAGCGGTTAACCTTTTCATAATTTTATTGCATATACGGCAATGTACTTGTGCCGCAACGAAAATAACTTTAAAAAAATATAAAGCCAAAGTGAATAAGTCTCGTGCACGTTTAAGTTTGTTGATATTTTTAAAAAACTTGCACAATGCACACATACACATACGATGCTTCTTTTTTGCGTATCACCTGCCCTTGTGCCCATATCAGTGCAATCAAGCACTGTTGGTGAGCTTTGTTCTTTAAAGTTTTGTTTTTTTTGTTGTCTGCGTCACGCTCTTTACTCCTTTAGTTATTTATAAACACAGTAGTTGTTTTTACAACTACAACTACACACAGTTTTAACCTGCATCAGCTGTTGTTCGTGTGAAGTGACTGTTGCTCATTGACGTTTGCAATGAGCATAACTAAATTATTTTCAAATGTGTAAGCAATGTAAACAACATTTTTCGTGATTTCCTTTCGAGCGATTTGTACAAAAATAAATAAAAAAATGTGTTAGAAGTTCGCTAAAATGTTCGTATTTTAAAAGTGCTAAGTAAAAATCATTAACCGCTTACTTAGAACCTCGTCTGAGGTAAAATAATTCGTATATAGAATTAATTAAAATGCTAAAATAAATTACTAAATTAAACTTAATCGTTTTCGAAATTCAGGTTTATTTATACTTTTTTAATATTTATTTATTTATTTTTTTTTGTTTTGTTATTTAAATTAATGAGTTTAAAGTTTAATTTTTTATTTTTATTTACACAAAAGAAATAACAATAAATATTTTTTTGAATGACTCTTAATCGGTCTTTACCGCTGACTCTACTGTCAATTAATGTATATTAAATCTATTACAATGTTCGTAGCGAAGGGGGACACATCGAACAGCCTAAATACGGCAAATTCGCAGTATAGTTCCTGAGAACGAGATTGACTTTGAACTCTCATCCATTAAAATCCATTAGATATGAAAGACCAATCGTAAATATTTACATACTTCTAAATTATTTGATCAAAATCAAGGTAGCTTTGGAGCATACAGTCAAACTTCCATAACTCGAAGTCCAATTTTGCAAAGAAAAGGTTCGACTTATGGAGACTTTGAGTTAGAGAATTTTTTTATTTTTAAAAAAATAATTATTTATTTGAAATCACATAAAGCACAGAAGTTATAGTAAAGTAAAATATTCAGAAACAACATAAGAAAGAAAAAATTAAACATTTGATTTGGAAAAAGGGATTTCCCCTAACAGCAAAATGAATTTTTACTTAGAACAAAAATTCGACTTATACCTTCTGCTCAAAAAGTACTCGGAATTTGTAAATAAAACACACAAATTTAAATTTTATTCCAAATTTATTTTATCTCGCTCCTTTTGAAGCGATACACATATGCCAACGGTTAACTCGATCTTTCATTCCAGTTTTGTAGGTCCGTGCAGGTATGGCTTTTAGTTCCTTCAGCGAATTCTCTTTTACCGATTCAATCGACTCAAAACGCTTACCACGAAGCGTTGAGTTTCGGGAACAGGAAAAAGTCGCACGGCGCCAGATCTGGCGAATATGGTGCCTTAGCGATGACAGTGGTGCCGTGTTTGATTATAAAATCGCGTACAACAAGAATTTTCCATAGTAAAATTCGCTAAATGCACTTGAGGTAGTCTCACATAACAGCTGCTGTAAACAAACAAATTGACAGATGGCGCTCAAATTTCTACCATATGTCAAGAAAGAGTGTACCAACGTAACGAGAAAAAAATTTTGAAAAAGGTCTATTACTTAAGGAGTAGTTAACAAAAATCCGGATACTTTTTGAGCAGAAGGTAGAATGCACTTTACTCATATTCCTATCGGCACGGAACAAAATTTTTGTTCGAGATATAGAGAAATTCGAGTTATAGAAGTTCGAGTTATGGAAGCAGAATTGTATATAATTTGCTCTCTAAAACCTTGGTGCACTGTTTTTGGTTCGAGTTATAGAAAATTCGAGTTATAAAAGTTCGAGTTATGAAAGTTTGACTGTATTAAGTAAACTGCATATCTTCTTTTTTGTTTTTCCTCCCATTATTTCTTTTTCATACGAATTTTCAAACCACATTGTATTAAAAGTCAATCTATCTGATTTTAAAAGACAAATTAGGTACCTCCAAACAAAAGTAGAAACTCAACATTCTTATTTCATACTGCTTTACTTCTATTTTAATGGTA